TGACACTAAGGCTGGGTTTCTGAGACAGGGCTACTAGAAGGGCCTGTCATGGCTCTTACCTGGCTCCCCTGCCCTCTCAGTGTCTTTGAACACTAGGTCCCAGGCTGGTGGTACAGTTTGTGAAGGTTGTGGAACCTTTGGCATGAAGGGCCTTAGGTGTGGTGTCAGTGGGATGGGGCATAGGGGTTTACAGCCCAGTCCCATTTCCTGTTCCTACTCTGTGCTTCAGAACGGTGGTGCAAGGTGACCAGCCTGTATACCACTCAGAATGAATAATAACTTTTCCATTTCAAGTGTCATTTTGAAATGCCAATTTTAAAACCACCTTTACAAATTTATTCTCTTCTCTTGAGGGATATTTTTGGCACAGTTTGTCTGGTCCCTTGACCAATAGGACATACGGAGAGAAAGATTCACATAGGGGATTAGAGCCTTGGGCTGAGGTGACCTGAGACTCGAATTCTGTAGGGACAGCAGGTAGAACATCTAGTAGCTTCAATGCAGCAGATGTGAGGTCAGATTTCTGCTTCTGTGATATCCTTCAGTCCATGTTCTCAAAGCCTTGAGAAGATTGAATGAATCAAACCCTAGAGATGCTCAGATTTGTTCACTTTCTGCTCAGAGAATATCATAACCATACAGAAAGATTGCTTAATAGTGATGGGTAGAACCCTGTTTGACCACTCAACTATGTGTCGAGCTTTGGCACATAATGTTAACTAACCCAAAGACTGTGCAGATAACAACCTACATAAGCAAAGACAAAGGCCACTGCAGAAAAATAAATCCTTCTACTCATTTGTTGTCTACATGCTATAAATGCTGATACCCTTTCATGGCTTTGCACATACAAGCTCCCAGCTTTTTATGAGAGGTCTGGGATTCTGAAGTCCAGTCCTTACCCTTCTTTATAAGGCGAGCCAATCTCCCTGGCCTCTTGAAACACTGTTTGTATCACATAGTTTGCTTCTCCATGTTGCTCCATTCGCAGCTGCTTGTGCCTCACCCTCTGGTTTTCGAGGATCATAGACAAGCATATGAGAAGCAAAGTCGTTTAAACTGGGACACATCATTGAAGATTATATGAGGTAATAAACTTTGGAAGGAGAGCTAGATTCCTAGCACAGCATTATTCTGCCAGGCGTTTGCCTGGGAGGAGCAGAGAGCAGACCTTGCATGTCAAAATCTCCCCTGCATTGATTTCTCCAGCAGTGCTGGAGTCCTGGCTTCAGAACCATTCACCTCAGTAATGGAAAATCTAATCAAGGTCAGAGGAATCGAGTCCTGTGCCTCTTAGCACCTTGAATTGGGTCTGAGGAGAGAGGGTGGGGGTCAATTGGACTGGGTGACGGTGGAAGCATGTGAAGGGATTTGAGCTACTGTTGTCAGTGGAAAGGGTCATGGTAGATCGGATTTTTTCACACTGTGGCATAGTACACTGAGTATAGTGTGGTGTTCAGTACTTATCCTTACAGGTATCCTGAAAAAGTATTAGCATTTTAATTTTATTAAGTCATCATTTACTTACAAACTGTTAAATATATGGAGCAAACATTACAACCCTAATAAAATGTATTTATTAAATGTGTGGATTGCATGTGAATTATATGGATTTTAGAGTCTTATTCCACTATCAGATCTTCTTTGCTGTGGTCAAGCCCAAGAACCTGCCTTCCTACATGTTAATGTAAAATGTAGTATTATTCTGTCTTCCTCACAAAACTATGCTGTAAAGCGAATCAATTAAAACCCTGAAATTCCTCAGTGCATGGAAGACTTCATCTTAAATCTTAGCTGCTCTTTGATGTCGTGCTCTACTACAATATAAATATTGAAATCCATGCTATTCAAATCATACAGTTTCTATCTTGAATTGTCATGTTATAACATCAGAAGCTAACAAATGTAATAAATAGTGCTATCTTCTCCAAGATCTTACACTACTTTTGTTCAAATTCCAAGCATACTCCTTCATCAGAATTAATTTAAATTCTTAAAATTCTATTACCTTGCAAACTACTTTCTGTCTTCCATTATTTTTTTTCTTGAACCTAGTCTAGAATTTCTCCCATGTCTGGTCTCCCTGGTGACCTTTTCTTTCTCTTCTCCGATTGTAAAGACTGTGGAAGAGACTAAACGGCATTCTTACACTTATATTCTATAGAATATAAGAAGCAAATGTGATTTGAATATAAATTGTATATTGTAAAGAAGGTTGTGTGTACAACTGTACAATAGATGACAAAGGCTAGAGCCAGGTACAGAATAGTGTCATCCAGCGTAGTTTCTATAACATTCACTGATTATCCATAGAGATCAGTACTAGGAAAATAGGTAGAACTGGTTGCTCCACACCTCAATCATTGATTGCAGCAGCTTTGTCCTGATAGCACCCTGAGGTCACAGGAGCATCACTTCACATATCCCACAGCCATCTTACCAAAGAGCTGATGCCAAAGAAAAACTCTTCCGGGACACTGACTCTTGCCAAGAGAATAGCTATTGAGTCCCCACTCAAATGCCTTAAACTTTTGGATTTGAATGAGATCAGTGAGTTTTTAATTAACATACAAAACAAATATGGGAGAAAGGGGACTCCGTTCTATCCCACATATTCAAGGCATTAATAGAAAGATGAGATAAATTATATGAAGATAGGAAAATTTGGCTTTTGCTGATACACACTAGAAATAAACATCCATATGATTTTACAGCAGGCACTTTTCACTTCCAGAAAAAAAATGTACATATGAATAAAAAGTATTAGATCAACGCCTATCCTCATTGTTCTGCACCCTCCCTGAACTTAAGATGAAAAACCTTCCCCAAAGCAATTTAAGTTTAGATCAAAGATTAATCCATAGGTTAAGTTTTGTAAGTCTCATATCTGAAAGCTAATACTGTACTTGTATTAAAAAAGAAATACCTACTTAAAATGGTTTTATTTATAAACATAGAAACCCAATTCCTTTCTTTTAATATTTGTTTTTCCACTTATAAAATTTAAATGATAAAATTAAAGCTTAAGAATACTAGGAAGGGTTAGAGTCTTGACAACTTGACAAAACTCAGAGGGAAAGATGGAATGTTGACTGAAAAGATGCCCCCACCAGATTGGACTGTGGGCCATTTTCTTTATTAATGATTGATGTGGGAGATCCCACGCCACATTGGATAGTTCCATCCTCACACAGATGGTCCTGAGTTATAATACAATACCTACTGAGCAAGTCATGGGAGAGAGAAAGTGAGCAAGAAGGTTTCCTGCGTGGATTCTGCTTCGGTCCCTGCATCCAGGTTTCTTCCCTGACTTTTCTCAGTGATTGACAGTGACATGGAACTGTAAGTTGAAATAAACCCTTGCCTCCCCTAGTTTCTTTCAGTCCTGGTGTTTTATCACAGAAAGAGAAACCCTACAATAATAGCCTGGTACTGGATTTGAATTAAGATGCCCTGATGATACTTTACACTGTCTTTGTACCACAGAAGTCTATAAAAGAAACCAGAAAGCCAATCTGTGTAATTCTAAAAGCAACCTTTCTCTAACTGCTCATAGAAATCATGTGTCAGCTTCTAAAATGCAACTGAAGAAAGACAGTGAAGGCCCATTTTCCCAGCTGACACCGTCAATGTACCATTGATAGGAAAACATCTAAGAATTTTTAATATTACAATGCTTTTGATAGGAAAACATCTAAGAATTGTCAATATTACAGTACTTTTGAACTAGAAATGTTCTCTTTTATTCTCAGTCCTGAAAATGCTAGCCAATGTTGTCACAAGCTTTTCCAGAAGCTGCATTATTCTATGACCACAGCAAATCTTTTGCAAACTCCCTAATGTTGCTAGCAGTCCCTATTGTTCCTAATGTTGCTATGTTAAGAAAAGCCTCACTCTGACAACAGAGATTCTGACTTGGCCTTTTGAAGCAAAGTACTGTGGAAAATGGAAAAATAGATCTCATGGATCCATATAACTATGGTATACAAAACTAGCAGATTCAAATATTTAAAACAAACTAACAATTGCATTAATAATTGATCCCATGTTTTATTATATAAGCCTGTATTTTTCTGATAATTTCACTCTGATTAAAGGAGAGAAATTATCATGCAAGCAATTGATCAAAATATAGATCAAGAATATGTACAACGCAATAACATAAAAACCAATAACCTGACTGAAAAATTGTTAAGACACTTGTGGAAATGAAGACTTTCCTAAAGAATATAAACAAGTGGCCAGGATGTTTATGAAAAGGTGACCAGAGTTACCGGTCTCCTGGGAATGTACATAAAAATCACAATGTGATATGGTCTCACATTTTCTAAAATAATCACTACCAGAAAGAAAGATATGATAACAAATGTTGGCAATGATAAAAAAGAAGGAAAACAAATTGCTCACACAAGTAGGAATGTGAATTGTTACAACCATGGTGGAAAATCATACAGGGATTATTTAAAAGTTAAAAAAAGAGTCACTGTAATGATCTAATAAACTCCGTACGCAAGAAAGATATATTTGTATCATTGTGAAGGTATTTGAGGCAGAATAGAAAGAGCTATTAGGAGGTAGGAGGAGGGAAAAGCATCTGTCACCTTAGAATCTATTGCCCTGCTCATCTTTAGAGGTAGTAAAAATCCTTAGCATTAGCAGGTCACTGGTGGAGCACTCCTTTAATTCCAGCACTTAAGAGGCAGAGGCAAGTGAGTCTCTGACTTCAAGGCCAGCCCAGTCTACTGAGCAAGTTTCAGGAGAGCCAGGGCTACACAGAGAAACCCTGTCTCAAGAAAACAACAACAAAAGAATTTTACCATATTAACCATCTAGCTCATCTTTAAATCTAAACAACATGCCTCATAATACCACCTTATGATTTCATCTAGAAAGGGAACTTATAAAAGGTAGAAAAATAAGTACACCAGCCTAAGTATTTTACTTGATGTTTACATTTACTTACTTTAATCTTAATCTTTCCTTTTTTTTTCCTTTTTTTTCTTGCTCAGAATTTTTCTGTTTTCTCCACTACACCAACAGGAAGAATTCAGCTTTTTAAATCTTCTCTGTATGCTTAATCTTTAAAGCATCACAAATTATATTCTTCAAACAATACAACTTGAAATGCAAGGATCACATATAACAACTGCAAAGACAATACACACAATTCTCCTTGAGAATCAAATAGCGGTGCATGGTATGTCTTATTCTTTCCTTGATAGCCTCTTCTTGTGTAGTCCCTGTACTTAAGATCTATGTCAAAGGTAATCTCTTAATAGGCTCCACCAGGGTAGCCAAATTGCTTAGTGGTTAAATGTAATTGCTCAAAGTCATCATGACATAATTTTGATGCCCATAATTTCTTTGTGGAAGAAAAAAAAAGGATTCCTGCAAATTATCCTCTGACCTCCATCTCTCTCTCTCTCTCTCTCTCTCTCTCTCTCTCTCTCTCTCTCTCTCTCTCTCTCTCTCTCTCTCTCTCTCCCTCTCTCTCTCTCTCTCTCTCTCTCTCTCTCTCTCTCTCTCTCTCTCTCTCTCTCCCTCCCTCACACTCACACACAATGAAAGAATTTCTAATACACGAACTCAAACTCTGCTTACCCTGGCTCATCCTGAAATTATTTTCCTAGCAAAACCAAGAATCCAGGCTTGCATGTATCAAGGTCTCTACTGAGGAAAATCCTGTCGCTTCTACAGGTGGAAACATGGATGAATGACTCCATCCTCTCCCTATTCATACTAATTATGATAGCTAACACATGGCATTATCTTAAATGTCCATCAACACATGAATGAATATAGAAATTATGATATAAACACATGAGCATGTGCGTGTGCACCTCTTTAAAAAGAGAAGAATTCTGACATTTCTGACTATATGGAAGAATCACTATGACATTGTGCTAAGCAACAAGCTCAACAGAGAAATGCAAATACATGACCTATGCCAAGTGTGAAATTTTACACAAACTCAGAAACAAAAGGAGCAATGGTATTTGGAAGGTGCTGGTGAAAGGGAGAGGTGGGAAGATGCTGATAAGGTCTAAAGTATCACTTCTGAAAGATGAGTTAATTCTGGAAACCTCACCTACAGCAATGAAATAATAGCTGACAATAGTTTGTGCAAACATGAATTTCCTGAGACAATAAATCTTATGTTGTTACATCACAGATATAAAAAGAATAGATGGCTGGTCTGGAGAGTTGGCTCAAAGGTTAAGAGCACTGGCTACCCTTCCAGAGGTCCTGAGTTCAATTCCCAGAAACCACACAGTGGCTCACAACCATCTATAATGAGATCCGTCGCCCTCTTCTGGTATGCAGGCATACATGCAGGCAGAATACTGCATATATAACAAATAAATCTTTTTTTAAAAAAAAGAATAGATGGGTAGTAAACCTTAAAACATTAAAAGACAAGGTATTCTTTTGAAGGTTGTCTTTGTTATTATAATCATTAATATATACCCCCAAATTATCTAGTCCTTGCATCTAAATGACTTTTGGGCATGTAGATACATAGAAAACCTGAGATGACAGCAGAAATCACTGCTGGGATTGCATGTGTCACCTCCTACTCAGTACTGCACTCAGGTTCCTGGGCTAAACAGCTCTGTGACCAGAGAGAAGACGGAGCAAAAGCCGGGCAGCAGTATGGTCGGTCACAGGACAAATGGACAAAGGACTCCGAGTCTTGCCGCTTGAGGTTTGTTATCTCTGACCATAGAACTCACTTCCTTTTATTTAATTTAATGCCAAAACTTCTGATATGCAGGTGGACACATCCCCTGATGATTTGAGTAGATTAATTTTATCAGTTTTAAACATTTTAGCATAAGGCTATTTAGCTATGGAGAAAGAATGATCGTATTATTTTCTTCAGAGTGCTTTCCTGCCATTCATCTACTAGTTTTTGATTAGCATGATCAAATGAAGCAAATAACTCTTAAGTCATACATGAGCCAAACTTTAGCTCACAGTACTAACAGAACAAGAAAGCCTGTGTTTTCGTTGTCGTTGATAACTCCTAATTCTGTTCATGACATGAACGGCCACTATTTAGTGTTCATTCAAACTTAGGTCTGTGCTTCTGATAATAAAAATGCATCATAGTGATCTTATCTATTTCCAATACTGCAGTTAAGAAAGGGTTGTCAATCTCAGGAATCAGTGAGAAAATATATGTGTACGGGAATGGTGTATGTGTGTGTGTGTCAAAGTTGAACTGTGGTATGTAGCTGAGCTATAGTCAACTTAATTTCAAAATCATTTGTATTAGTGCTAGAAAGTCCTGAATGTGAGTATATAAGACAGATAAAAGAAAAGGATAGCTTGGCAATAACTCAAGAAGCTTCCTGGCTGAATGTGCCCCTTAAGAGCTGATTATTTTAGTGCCATGCAGAGAGAGTACAAACATGGTGTTAGTATCTGTTCCAATTTCAGAACATCATAAATCTCACAAATTGACACTTTGGCCTATGCCTTTAAACTGTACGCTTCGCTTTGAGATCCATGAATTTCTGGACATCTTTTTCATGAGTTCCTGGAAGAAGGAGAAAGAAACACAAAGGAGGGTGCATCAAATTCATGAAATTTGAAAGAAAGTTTGAGGTATTTCACTGGAAAATTTGTAAGTCATGACTTTTATTGTTAAAAACAGTTTTTCCCTATGAATCAAGAAATTTTACACTTTTTATTTATCTAAATAAAATATCCAAGGACTTTGAAACAAATATCTTTATTTACAAAGACAAGAGTATCCACCAACACCTACCTCTCTTGCATTAATACTCAGCAACTATTTGTCCTACAAAAGTCACACGCTCACTTCCATTGTCCGTTTCCTAATTTATTTTCTAACACTAATTAATGAATCTTTATGGCATCTTTGTTTATGAATTCTAGCCATTATCTATTCAATTTATCCTCATTTGGGTGAGTGAAAATATTCTCTTACAATATTTGCTCTGTATCCACCCACAGATTATACATTTACTCAGTCTCCATTCACTTATGATTTACATTTTCAAGTGTTACAAATCCAAGAAATACAATTATGGTTCTTTATCTGTTAACATTTGTAGTAATGTTTTCTTATGACCTGCTTTCATTTACATGTTTTTCTTCTGTTTTTCGACAGTGTTAACATAAAAGCACTGTCTGAGAGAAATTCTCTTAAAACCAGAGTCTCCATTTCCACAAATGGAGAAGAGAAGGAAAATAATTTTATATTGAATACACACCAAAAGTAGAATGCAAAATCAAAAGTGAGCCTCCTAAAAATATAGCAACATAAATAATCCCCAGTCTCCCATGAAGCCAATCAGATAGGACCCTCTTCTTTGGTGTGCTCAGGATAACAATTACTTCTCAAGGGAGCAGCATCATGTGGATGATTAAAAATTTTATTCCTAGACTAGAATGATAATCTGTGTTAATTAACTAGAAAACACCACAGCAAAATATACATTCTTATCTTTACAATAGTAAGTACTATGGTAATCAGGCTCCTTCCCAATTTAGGCTTCTCATAAGAACTAGTATTAGGCTGTGGAGGTTTGAATAGGAATGGCACCACATTGGGCCATTGGCCTTTAGGGAGTGGTGCTATTTGACAGTGATTAGGAGGTGTGGCCTTGTTGGAGAAAGTGTTTATTTAGGGGTGGACTTTGGTGTTTCAAATGCTCAAGCCAGGCCCAGTGTATCTGTCTTCCTGATTCCTGTGGATCCAGATGTACAACTCTCAGTTACCTTCGCAGCACCATGTCTGCCTGCATGCTGCCACACTTCTTGCCATGATCCATCCATTATTCAATGGTTTTAATAAACTAAAGCTCTGAAACTGTAAGCCAGCCCCAATTCAATATTTTCATTTTTAAGAGTTGCTATGGTCATGGTGTCTCTTCATGGCAATAGAACAATGACCAAGACAACGGGTCTCTGTTCTACTAATCATACTTCATAAAGATGGCCCCATACCATTGAGGAGAAATTTTCCCTTGTTTTCAACAGGAAGGCTTACTGTACTGAATTTTTGTTCATCCTATTGCATCCTAGTACCCAGTTATAAATTCACAGGGGCCTCCCAGATTCAGAAATATCTTAGAAAAACAACACTAAGATGTGCTGAGGTGTATAAACCACTAGGTTAAGGAATTCTCTCTTCCCATTTCATTGTTCTCTCCCTGTATGTGACAGAATTCTACAGGGTTGGGTACTTGGCAAGCTCTTTTACTTAAAAAAAAGAAGGTAATTCTTTGAGTTAGGTTTGGTACTACATACCTGTAATTCCAACAGTCAAGAGGCTGAGATGAAGAGGTTGCAACCAATCTGAGCTTCATGATAAACTGAATGCCTACACAGTAAAGAGCTGTGGCAGCCATCCCAGAAGGAATGAAGACAGTCCAAGGAAATGTCTCTGTCCTTCCTTTTGGCTATGGACTACTAAAGTAATGACCCACAGAGGACTAGATGGTCCCCACCCCCATGAATCTCATTCTATTAACATTGAGTTTTTGAGACCAACAGAACCTTTCTTGGCTCTTGGTGAACTTAACTCATGGAGTTATGGCACTGGAAAATCAACAGGCACCAAAGCCAGTGACTTTCAAATTGGTTGTCTATTGCCAAGCATAAAGAAATATGGATAACAAGTGAGTAGAGGAAAAACAGAGCTGTTAAGGAAAAGTGAGAAAGAATATAGCTATTTCTGCTCTACTTCAGCTTAAACTTCATGTCAGGACAGGAAATGTTGACTTGGGGTGGGGGAACCACCAATTCCTCTTTGCAACCTTTCTGGTTTTCACTATGATTACTTTGTTTAGTTGTTCCAGCAAGGGTGGATGGCTGAACTTCACTAATTAGGGCTGTAAAAACTCTGGCAAACTTGTCTTATAAATAAATTAAAATAATAAATAATAGCAATCAGCTCTGAAAACCATCTTGGGAAAGGAAAAAAAGAATGGATTAATCAAATATGATGCCAATAGTTTACATGCTGCAGGGGATGCACCATGAACCAAATTTTATTAGCTGTGATCATTTAATAATACAAGAAATTTATTTTGGTTTT